TTTCTACTCACCCTCTGCTTCCTTCACAAGCAGCCAGCAGCTCCTCCCACAACCTCTGGGAATTTGAAATGCAATGGAAGCAATTCAAACTGCCTCTCTTTTTTCTACTACACAACCTCTGGGAATTTGAAATGATATATTTGACACTGTCTTGCTAAATATTCCATTCACAGTAAAACCACAATGTAGCACAGTTGTCAAGTTCAAAGGGAAAAAATAAAAGTAATGTTAAAAATATAATAAAAAATTGACATTCAACATAGCCAGCTTAGCCTAGCCAGGAAACAAATGAACAATACCAGGAAAATAAGGAAGTACAGATATAAAATCAAAGAACTTGAAAAATGGTTTAAACATAAATTATAATAAAGACTGGAATATTGTATGTAATCTTTCCCTCTCAGAGAGGGGGGGGGGGGGAAGGAGGAAGATTTTCTTCTGCACTTGGAAATACTTATTAGCACTTAAGAATTCATCTAAGTGCCTATGGCAAACTAGCAAGGATGCACAGCCAGTAAAGGAATGAGTTTACACATAAAATTATTTTTAGACATTTTTTAGTTTAGAATGCTTAAAAGCATGCTTTGTTGAATAAATCACAGTAGCCTTATTTGTAAATAATGGAAAACCATAATGAGTGGCTACGTATTCTTAGTCACGTATTATATTAAGCCCCAAACAAATCAAAGTACAATATGTCTTGGTGTTCTTCTGAACCAGGACAACATATTGTGAAAGTGTGAAGATTCAGTCCAATATAAATGATGACCGAGGACAAAATTATAAGCACCACTTCCAAATTCCATTTACCTTTTGCTGTTAACTGTCTTGAGTGCTTTTTTGGCAAAACAACCAACTTTTTAGGCCAAGATGCTATAACTCATGTATGTAAGAACAGCCCTTTAAATCAGACACAAGTCTATTGAATCTATTATAATTTCACACAAAATGCCAACTAAATGCCAATTGAAAATATTCAAGCAAACATGAAGGAAATAACCTTTCCTTAATGTTGTTTGCTGGTAACCAGTATGGAAAGATACAATATCATGAATTGGACAATTCTATTAGGAATCAAGATTACTAACCAATACTTTATGATTGTCCAACATTAAGATCTTGTCTAAATCCCTATTAGAGCCTTCCAAAGTCAACAGCGTCAACACATTTTGCAGTTCCAAATTTCGTAATTTAAGTTTGGAATGTATGGCATTCTTCTCTCCAGCAACTCTTAAAATGGAACTTTAAAACAACATATTGTCAACATACAGCCTAAAAACTAAACTTAAAAGCATGGCAATACTACTGGACTCCCTCTATTTACTGAATCAAGTGGCTGTTATTTTTTCTGAGTGCTGTTTCATATGATAGGAGATGCTTTCTCCTTTCATTTACTTCCTCCAAATAAGCCTTACATCTAATATTGCTCGATCAATTTCAGTAGACGTTTCAGCTCTCATTTTCTCAAGCTATTCTTAGGAAGAAATATACTCTGAGATCCACAAGTAATTCCACTCATCTATGATACAAGTTGGATTAAAGCCCATTAACTCTCACAGGAGTAGTTCATCCTGCCACAATATCTCATAATACATTTAGAGTATGCATGATTGCCAACTCATGGTCTGACATTTCTTAAAGCAACAACTGCAAAAATCATGGTTTACTTTAAATAGCTAATAACTTTGTACTCAGTTTTTGAGAAGCCAATTTGCAAGCATTAGCAATATTCTCTATAAGTTAACTTTTCAAATACCTGGATGTGAAATCATTCAGTTTTGGAAAAAATATATTAAGACAACACTATAGGACTTCCGGTTTGAGCTTCTTCGGCGACAGACCGAAACCTCGTTTCTGCGAGGCTTCGATCTGTGCTCGCCGCTGGAACGCCCCGAGCCGGCTGGTTTCGGGGCTAAGCCACCCCGTAGAGGTGGTGAAGAGGGGGGAGACTGCCTGCAGGGTTGAGGAGAGCCGCCTCTCTCCTCCCCAGCTGGCCATTACTCCCTTTCCCGAAGGCGGTTATAGCGGTGGTCAGAAATGGCCACCACAAAGAAGAACTCAACCGGAAAAGAATGTGCAGGAGGAAGATAAGAAGAGAAAGTTTTGGTTGACCGGGTCAAACAGCAAAAGCAACAAATAAGGTACCCTGGAATTGAAACTATTAAAAAAAACCAATAACATTGTTCCCTAAGAAGATTTTTAAGCTGCAAAGGAGAGAGAAAAGGGAAAAGATTTGGTTTTTTCCCCTCCTTTTCCTATACTGACAGCTAAGAGACTTAAGCAAGAAATTGGAAAAAAAAAATCCACTTTGACATTAATAGGCATTTAATGCTGAAAATAAAAAGTCAGAGAGACAATAAAGATTTCTGGATAATCAAAACAGGAAAGGAGAGAAAACAGGAAAGGAGAGAAAAAGAATAAAAGGGCAGGATCTGGAAGGGAGGAGACTGCCTGGAATTAAAAACAACTTACAGCAAAATCTCAACAAGACTTCCAAAAGATACATTTTAACTGAAATATCACAACAAAAACCCCAGGAAGAGAAAGTGGAAAAAGAAATAAGAAGAAATAATTTGGGACTATTTGGATTACTTGATGATTTCTGGATTTTTGGTTATTGTATTTGGATGATTAAAATCAATCGGGTGCTCGTTTAAAACTGTTAAAAATGGCTCCACTTTTAGAAGAACTGAAAATGGAACTTAAAAAGTACAAAGAAGATGCACAAGAAGGGAGAGGTTCTTTTGGCTTCGTATTTCAGTTTTTAGAAATGGAGATTTGGAATTATGAGAAACAACAAGAAATGCCTGCAGAACAAGAAGATTGTGACAAAGAAGAAGCTATCTTTAATGAACAAGTAATCTTAGGTGGGGGGGGAGAGAAAAGGGGGGAAAGAGAATGGAAAATTTAAGATTGGGAAAAACAACTCCAAAAAAAATTAGAGTGAAAAATAAGTATAAAATCAGAAAGCAACAGAAGAGGGAAATGCAGGAGAGAGAATTAGAAGTAGAGAGACAAGGGGGTAAAAAGGGGAGGGAGAAGAAGAGAGGGAAGAAAGAAAGGAAAAGAAGTTATAAAGGACAGAAACAAAATATAGAGAAACAGGGCCTATTTAGAGATAATGGGTGAAAATTTAATGGAAAAAGGGATTCTGCAAAGGTACATAAGATAGTATTGTTATATTAGAAACAGAAATAATTTTAGAAAATATGAAACAATGTATGATTAAAATGTTTGATAAAATAGCTATCTTAATTCAGTGGAATGCTTGTCAATATATAAATGTAACAAAATGAATATTTAATGATTTACAAAGCATATGTGAAGAAAAATAAGGGAAAAATTAATTATGGAGATTATATGTGTCTTTAAGGAAGTATTATATTTAATTGAAAAGAAGTGTTAAAGATGTTAAGATTTTAATGATTATTAATGACAGAACTGAATTGGAATGGAATGAGGGTTTATAATTACATATATTTATAATCTTTTTTTTTTAAAGAATATAGTGTGTATTGTAAGAATGTACCAGCAGAATTCGATTGGAAGTTATGTATTATGTATTATATTGAAGGTCATAACCTTAAGGTATATATTGAAGTTTAAATAAGAGTTGAATGGATGTAATTAAAAGATATGAAGGTGTCATTCTCCAATTAGTAACTACAGGAGAAAATTTGTTTAATGAGAAAAGACAATATGAAATTGAAACAGAACAGACAAAAGTATAAATATAATGATTTGAATTGAGATGCGATAATCAAAATAAAATTGAAAAAATTAAAAGAGGGGAAAAACTATATAGAAAATGTAGAATAGTATAAGATATGAAATAGAATATAAAAAGGAGCATGAAATTGAGTTTTGTGTCTGTATAAAGAAGTTCAACCCGTGACCATGCTATTTTCAAAAAAGATGTTTTACTTGTAATTTGTATGTGTGAAAACCCAAATAAAACTTTATTAAAAAAAAAAAAAGACAACACTATACAAATTATTCGGCATTAAAAGTCTACATTCCTAGCATTCCTGCTTTTGTGTGTATCCATATAGATGGATTGATAATTTATGACGGCTGCATGAGCTACTGTAGGATTTCTCAAACAGTATCCATAACTATATATACTGTATACACAAATAATTTGTATCATGCATGTTTCACTGTGAACTGTCAAATTTTGATTTCAAACACAAAACGAATCTCTATGAACATGGAAGCTAAGCTCTGCATTCAAAATACTCAAAACAATACTTTATAATTATAGTCTATTCTGATAATGGTTTCAATTTTGGTTTTGTTTCTGTCTCTTCTATAGAGTCTAATTCAAAGAAGTACACAGAAAATTCCTCTAGTAGATTATGGCCACAAGAGGCCCATAATCAACAAAGGATTCCAATGAATCTCCTGTTCAGTTAGCTAACAATATTACTTCATTCAGGTCTTGTCTCTATACTGTTCACCAATACTTTCCAAGTGAAACTGTTTCTGTAACAGAGAACAATGTGTTTTCCTTTCTATATGACCATGGTGTTTTAAATCAGAAAACAACCACTGTGAGGTAAATATTAACTATTTAGCTGAGCACTTGAACAGTTGTCCAGCCTATAACACATTTCTTTCAACCTTATCACTCACCTGTGGGGATCTGAGTCTTACTGGAGTGGTGATGTCCCCCTACTCCTGGTTGTGGAGGAGGACTTGTTCCTACTTGTCCAGTACCTTGCGCTGGGCTTGTGCTGATCAGAGTTCCAGCAGGCAGAGGCTGGCCTCTTTTTAAGAGCTGCTTCTGTTCTTGTTGGCGGAAGCGTGGAGGCACCTCACGAGGCAGGTATCGGGATGCAGCTGGCTGCTGCCCATTGGCAGATGCACGCTTGCCATTATTATTGTTGGTAATAGTGCTGGTGGAAGTACTGGTACTGGTACCGGCAGGTTGGGGCTGGCTTAAACTGGTCTTAATAGGTTCTGGCACTAAGAAAATAAAAAGTTAAGAAAATATAAAGAGGGAGAATTAAATACAATTCTTCTTAAATGCACTTGAAATTAAAATGTGTCAACATGCTCTTTGCTTGGATAAACAAGTGAAGTAATCAAGCATAAAACACTTAGGAAACAGAGCTTATGCTACATAAATGTTACATTCTTTGGGTTTGGTCATGTGACTGAAAATTTCAAAACAACATTTCTGGACATCTCAGTGATTTCTAAAACTTTATACTATATATTAAAATTGTTTTTCTTCAGCTCTCCAAGTGTACGCCATAATAATATTTTTCTGTCTTCTGATATTAAGAGCATATCAATTTTGGAGAAACTTACATTAAGGAAATGCTTCAACAATATCTCAGTGCCATCATAACTTCAAATGGTTGTTCAATGAATAATCATACCGTGTTTCTCACAAAATAAGGCCAGGCCTTATTTTTTTTTTGAGCCCCGAAGAAACGGCTAGGATGTCTTTTCAGGGGTGAATTAATTCCCCCCCCCCCAGTGCACCAGCGCCGTCTCCAACAACAGAATCTGAGTCGCTCCCGCTTTCCCCCCGTCCCCGTAACAATAGGAAAAAAAGATTTTGAGGTTCCTGGGAGCGCTGCGAGCTGCGTTTTGGTTTAGTCCCGAGCGGCTGGGTGGGCGTGAGAAGAGCCGAGCGAGCGTCTCTGCTGCTGCTACCCTTGGTGGTCCAGCCTCAGGCTCTGCAAGTTTGCAAAAGTCCCGGTGTGCAACCCATTCCTGCATTCCAAGTGGCCAGGCTGAGCTGCAGCTGTCCCTCTCTCGCCAGCGCCGTCTCCAATAACAGCGGCAGTAGCAGTGGGAACCGTGGAAGTTACGGAGGCAGCTCCCCCACTTGAGAAGTGGCTAAAACGCTTCCACTTCCCGCACCGGGACTTTTGAAAACTTGCAGAGCCCGAGGTTGGAGCACCAAAGGTAGCAGCAGCAGAGACGCTCGCTCGGCTCTTCTCACACCCACCCAGCCACTCGGGCTTAAACCAAAACGCAGCACGCGGTGCTCCCAGGTACCTCAAAATGTTTTTTTTCCTGTTGTTAGGGGAACGGGGGAAAAGCGGGAGCGGCTCAGACGCTGTTGTTGGAGACGGCCCTGGCGAGAGAGGTGCCAGCACCGGTGGGAACCGTGGAAGCTCCGGAGGCCTGAGAAGCAGCTGAAACGCTGCCGGACATCCACGCTGATGCCGCCCGCCTGCTGACCCGGGTAAGGGAGGAGTAAGGGAGCCCTCTGTGCTCCACCATGGTGTTAGGAGCGGCTGATGGTGAGGCGTAGCTGCCCACGGGGCACTCCTAATGGCAAGTTCCCCCCCTACCTCCCCCCCCCAATTTCGCATGTTTTAAACTAGGCCTAAAATTGGGCGGAGGGGCTTAATTTCATTTTATGCCTAGAAAACATGCTGGGTCTTCCTATTGGGGGGGCGCGTATTGTTGGAGAAACACAGTAATTTGAGAACTACCTATATGGAATTACAATTGCTGAAGTTAAGAAATAGCGAAATATGTCAGTTTTTCTAGTCTTAATTTCCTTTTGCTCCATTTTTAAGAAGCATAATAATAATTTCCATAATAATAATATACTGAATCATTTTTGGTGTAGCAATTAAGGTGCTGGCCTAGAAACCAGGAGACTGTGAATTCTAATCCCATTTTAGGCATAAAAGTTGGACTGGGTGCCCAACCCACTTCACAGTGTTTGCAGTTGTGAGGAAAATAGGAGGAATGAGCAGTATGTATCTTTGTCACCTTGAGTTACTTATGTGTAATAAAGGCAGCATAAACTGATCTAACACACACACACAAATTTTAAAATGTGTGAATCTCAAAGTGCCATTGCACTTGATTTATATATTACCCTGACAGGTTGTCATTAGATAAATTCACACTGAAATGTGATATAAACAAATTTATTTCCTAAAGTATTTTCTTATAATTACCTAAAAAGTGCCTTAAAATTCCCTATTTTAAAGATAAAAATATTCTTATGTCTTTAAAATATGAGAGGCAACTAGCTTTAGTTTGCTCCGAAATTACACAAATAATCAATGATGCTTTTTCAGTATGCTTTATATGTTTTGTCTTTTAAGAATCATATTCTACTATGATATAATTACATAATAAATTTGTTTACAAAACATTTTAATATCCTCTGTACAGTCCAGCAATTTGTAACAGAATTTTAGAGCAATATACTGTAAATTGGTTTTTAAAATGTACTAAGAGAAGCATGAAAAGTAAATTACTTCAAAAGAAAAACTCCATTAAAATACTTAATATTTTCTTCCCCTCTGTTCTCACTGTGCATTATTAAGGCAAGCTTTCTATAGCCAGGACACCAAACCAACGAGTAACATTTTATATATCCAGCTACCTTACTTTCATAGAAGTGAGCAGAAATGGCTTTTAAAAAGAGGTAACTCTCTTTTGCTATCTGGTGTTATTTTTTTTATTTGCTAATGATTTTATTGGCTATGTTTCTATTATTTTTGTTTTTAATGTTTTCAATGCTTTAATGTTTGTAAGCTGCCCAGAGTCATTGGATATGAGATGGGTAACAAATAAATTTCATAAATAAATTTCATAAATAAATAAGTAAATAGATAGATAATAAATAAATTAATAAATAAATAAGTAAGTAAGTAAGTAAGTAAGTAAGTAAGTAAGTAAGTAAATAAATAAATAAATAAATACCGTATTTGCCGGCGTATAAGACGACCCGGCGTATAAGACGACCCCCCACCACCACTGGAAACGCCCTCCAGAAATCCCCGGGGCTGCAGCGGCAGGGCAGAGTGCCAGGGGCCGTGGGAAGAGCAGTAAGGCTGCAGCCTCGGGCGGAGCGAGGCGAGCGGGATGAAGCGGAAGCGACGCAGGGGATCCAGGAAGCCAGAGGCGCCTTCGCTGCGTCCAACAAGCCTCCGAAAGCCGGCAGTGGATATACCGGCGTATAAGACGACCCCCCCACTTGGAGGCATGTTTTTCGGGGCAAAAAAGTCGTCTTATACGCCGGCAAATACGGTAAATAAATGCTGGCCAGAAGGCAAGGCCACGCACCTGTAAAACTAGACCGTCCTTAAGGTATCCCAGCCTTGCATTGTTGCGTTCTTAAAGGTCAAACTAGTACTCTGACTTAGAACTGGAAACAAATCAGTCATTTACATAAGTTGCATATTGCCAGGGTTGTATGATCCATGTACTGAGATTCACTTACCAGTCTTGCTTTGGGACTGTGAGCCAACTGATATTTCTGATCACTTTTAAAGCTAAAGCCATATTTCTACTTTGAATGTATGTTTGAATGAAGTATTTCTACTTTGAATGTTACCAGGCATAAGGTGAGCATCTTCAAAATGAGCAAATCATGGCCCTGGCACACACACAAAACTAAGTCAAAACTGTAACCAAGACTACAGGCAAATTCATGCAATCCTACTATTTTCTTAACAAATTACAATGAAGATTTAATTTTGCCTTTCACAAATGCCTCAATTAATCTCTAATTATGGAAATCAGCCACTTATGTTTAGTTGGAAGCAGAGATGCCAATCTTCTTTTTCCTGCTACTCAAACTACCACAGAATTTTTTTTTTAAAAAAAGCTTATATTTCCTGCAAAATTCACATCAGCCTTTGTGTTTTACGTTCTTTTCAACTTCATTTGTAAAATGTTATTGGCTGGGCGTGGCCAACTCAACATCACTCACATCGAGGCAGGCATCTCCTCACATGGCCTCTCATGACTGTGGGGATGCTGCAACAGTCATAAGTGTGAAAAATGGTCATAAGGCACTTTTTTCAGTGCCATTGTAACTTTAAATGGTCACTCCACACAAGCAAAGTATCAGCAAAGGAGGGGGGAAAAACTCCAGAGAAGTTCCTGAGACAGGAAGTCTAGTCCTGCCAAGAATGTAATAAGGATTAATGGAGAGGCAGTTTCTGTAAGCAACACCAGAATGTTCCCTTCCTGCCTTCCTTACAGGATTAGGCTAGTAATTTCTTCTAACAACCGGTTCTCTGAACTGCTTAGAATGTTAACAACTGGTTCTAGCGAATAGGTGAGAACTGGTAGAATCCCACCCCTGCTGGGAATATAGATGAAACACTGACTTTGTTTAAATCTGTGCAGCTGCTCAAAACTAGAAACATTTCCTGAATTTTTAATTGGAATAAAATCCAGACCCTGATCCCCACTGAGGTAACATTATCCAAGAACAATTCACTATCAAACAGAACAAAGATTCTATTAACACATTTGGTTTGTTTTTTTTACTAAAACCTGCCAAGTCAAAATATATAAAAATAGATGAAATCACACATAAATTAATGGGGCAATACAACATCATTCACTATATCCACAACTGTGAAATTGAGCAAATGATGAAGAACATTTTGCTGGAAGAATTAAAGTTCTGATTTTTTTTTTAAAAAAAAACCTTGTCTTATTAAAGCTATAAAAACTTAGACATAAGGCTGAGGCGGAGCCTTAGAGATCATCTTATCAAATCCCATGCTCAGTGAGGGCATCCACTACAACAGCTTGCTACACAGTGGTTATCTATCTAAATCAAAGGTCTTCAAACTTGGCAAGTTTAAGACTTGTGGACTAACTCCCAGAATTTCTGAGCTAACATGACTGGAGGAGGAATTCTGGGAGTTGAAGTCCACAAGTCTTAAAGTTGTCAAGTTTGAAGACCCCTGATCTAAATACTGTATTTTAAGTAAAATCTATATACTACTAAAACTCTCATTCTCATGAGTCATGACCTTTAACTGGACAAACTGGTATTATCACAGGACAATGCTTTTTGAAGCGAAGTGCCACAAATGGGCTAACTTATAGACTGTGTCCAAAGTTTGGGACCTATAAGTCCTGAGGGAATAAAAATTGGGAAAATTGTGGCTCCTTCAGTGCTACTGGCTGCACTTGTGGTCACATGATTTTTTAATGTTCTGGGACAGTTTCCCAGCCAC